AGTACGTGATACTCCGGGCAGAGAGATGCTCGCTGGGGTGGAAAACGCTGTGCTCAGGCACCCGCGTGATGAAACCCAGCACAGGGCTGGCGCTACAGCCTCCCTCGGCCTCTGCAGCCTCCTCCGGCAGGGACTGGAGCACCCCAGGGACTGGTGCACTTTGGGGATCTAGACACCCTGAGGACCTGAGCACCCCAGAGACTGGAGAACCCTGGGGACCTGTGCACCCTGGGGACCTGAGCACCTTGGGGACCACAGCATCCCCGGTACTGGAGCACCTCAAGGACCGGAGCACCCTGGGGACTGGTGCCCCCCAGGGATGGGAGCACCCCGGGGCTCCTCGCCCTCCTGCCCGCAGCACGGGCAGCTCACAGGGTAGGGGGGACACCACACCGGGGGATGCACCAGGGATGCGGGCTGCACACATCCTCGGCAGCCGTGTTCTCGTGGCCAAGCATTCAGGACAGCCCCGCTCCTTCCCCTCACTACCTTCCACCACAGGGCCAGGAACGCCTCGCAGCTGCTGCTTCATGCTACAAACGGCCGCGATGCGGCTGTGAGGAAGCGCGGCGAGTGCTTACCAGTGCCTGGTGCGAGGACTGGTCTACAGCGGCTACAGAGTCAGAGGAGCCGGGCTCGGCGTCAGCCAGGGCAAGCTCTATATTCTCCTGGTGAGGGACAGACAGAAGCACAGTTAGTGCCCGCTCGGCCGGGGAGCAGCGAGAGGGACCGACAGCCCATCAGGACATTGGTCTCAATGGGGTCTAGGCAGGAGGCAGGGTTTTCCCAGCATCCCACCGCCCCGCTGCGCCGGCACAGCACAGGGCGATGCCGGGTGCCAAGGGGGTACCAGGACACATGGATGGGTCCCCCTGGGCTGTCAGTGCCGAGACGGTGCAGCAGCAGTGACCTCCCCCACCCCCATCACCCACAGCCACCCCATTCCCAGCTCGGCACGTCTGCAGGCAAAGCTGCCTGGCCGGGGCCGGAGCTGCCAGTAAAGGCACCGCCGGCAGTGGGAGCCCTGGGGAAACCGAGCATCGTGTCAGAGCTGCTTCGGTTGGACCCAGTCCAGAGCGACTGTGGGGTGAGAAACTGGAGGGACATCGCAGGAGATGCTCGCGCAGAGAGGGGAGGAGAGGGCAGGAGGGGCGGAGGTGGCGATGGCAGCCTTGGGTTGTCCCCGGTACCTCCTTGTAGCGTTCCAATTCGCGGGCGAAGGTGCGCTGGTGGAAAAGGAGCTGCAGGCGCTCCTGGGCGTAGTTGTGGCAGAGCTCCTCGAAGGTGCCCCCCCGGCTCTGCCCCGCCAGCTCGGGGTTTTGCGCCCCGGGGGTGTCCACCACCGTCACCGAGCACACCGAGTGCTGGCTCGACTTCAGCGCCCTGTGGGGGACAAAGGGACACAGCGGGGTGAGCGGGTGATGCTGGACTCCTCCCCCGGCTCTCCCCCTGGACCCCCAGCATGTACCTGTTGAGGAGGGAGATGAGGAGGGTGAAGAGCTGAGAGTACAAGCCAGCCGCCATGCCCTCCAGGCACTCCAGCGCTGTCAGCTTGGGACCTGGCCGAGACAACCCTGAGTGTCCCCAGCCCGGTGTACCCCAGGGCCACCCGCTATCCCTACCATCCCTCACCCTACCTGTGCCACCATCGCCCAGGGGAGGGTCGTCGGGGCCCTGACGGAAGGAGGTGGATCGCTGCAGGGTGCCCTTGGGCTGGTGCTTGAAGATGGAGGAGGAGAGCTCCTCCAGGCTGCAGCCCAGCAGGTAGGCGGCTTTCTGAGCCCACTCGTGGCGTGCAAACTGCTTCCTCCCGGCTGGAGGGTGGAGAAGGAGGCTCAGTGCTGGCCAGGGCATCCCCCCAAATGGGGGTTGTTTCCAGCCAGACCTGGGATGGTCTCAGGGTCCCCCAGAGTAGGCTGGGGATGCTGTGCACAGTGGGAGCGCATAGCTGGTGTCAGAGGGCCAGGAAGCGAGTTTTGGGGTCTGATTAGAGAAGATGGAGGGGGGTGAACGGCTTCATGCCTCTGCAGGGCTGAGCCTAGAGCCACGGCGTGGGGTGAGGGGTGGGGATCACCCCTTGCCACCGCTGCCCGGGGACGCATGGGACCTGCGACAGTACGGGGCTGTGAGCCGCCCCAACATGGGGACACGTCCCTGCTCAGCCACATGCACCGCACAGCCCCGCCGCGATGCGGCAGGACAGACCACGGGTGCCAGACAGAAGCACATGGATGCCAGGGGAGGGGAGGGGAGGTGGGAGCAGGTTAATGGTGACACGCAGGGACAGGAGAGTGGGAAGGCACGTGGGAGGGGGAAGCCAGAGACACGCGCGGAGAACAGGACTTTACCTTCGTCGGCGTCTGCATTGCAAAAGGGCAGCATGCACCATGCAAACAGAGACAGGGGTTAGAAACAACGGCACGCGACAGCGCGGACACGCAGCACGGAGACACCCTCCTACCGAAACACGCCACGTGCAGGCACCGCCACGCCATGCACATGCCAAGCCTGGTCTCCCCCCAGGAACCGCTGCAGTGAGATGCTGTGACCCAGCGTGGGGCCCCTTCCCTGGTGAGCCCCAGCCGCACCGTGGGCACTGGTGGGGTGCAGCTCAGCTCTGCTCCAGAGCATGGGGAGCCACTGTTGGATCCAGCCCAGTACAAGTGTCAAAGGGCCGAGGAAATGGGGGCTGGTGTGGCTGAGCTGGCTCTGAGCATCCCCAGTGCCTGCGAGATGCAGGGGAGGCTCCAGGAGCAGCACAGAGCTGGGGCTGGGATGCTCCCCCCAAGCAGGATCTGGGCTTCCCCCCAAGCAGGCCCCTATGAAGAGGCTTCCGAGCTGCTGGAGCATCCCGCCTCGGTGGCTGCCGCGGGGCCCTGCTGCCCTCTAGTGCCTCGAAGCACCCTATGGGCCAGCACTGAACCCCACTGCTCCCCCAAGACCCCTCTGGTCTTCTCCCTCCCCATCCCCAACTCATCATTTCCCCCAGGACAAATTCCCTGGGTGCAGCCACCAGCTCCAGGTGCCCATTTTGGGTATGCCCTGCCCAGGCCCTCTCACCAGCGTGCAGCACCACAGGGGCTTCCAGCACCACGGAGGGAAGGCGAAAGCCCCAGGGGGAGAAGAGCTGCCCCACGAAGCCAAATTCACCACCCCCAGGGATGGAGAGCAAAGCTGGTGCCCATCAGAGCAAGTCCTGCAGCCCACAGTGAGCTCTGGGCGCTGGGGCAGCCCTGTCCCACGCCACTGGTGGTGCCAAGAGGACCGGGTGGGGGGGGGG